CGTGAAATCAGGAATACCGAATACATTGTGTTCAAACTGTTGGGTTTTAATGTAAGTATACAGAGGCAGAGATAGAGAGAGAACAAAAAAAAATAAGTGACGTGCCACGAAGTATTTCGCTCGATGTCGTCGAATCAAAATTGTTTGTTTACATTCTTCGTATAATTTTTTTCTTTTGATTCTTTGAAAAATCAGATTAAATCGTCGGAATTATATTCGGTGGCCATAGACTTGGCAACGCAAATCACAAATCGAAATCACGAACTCGCCATTCGTTTCGACAAGCTTCATGACAGCTGTGTTCAAATGCTCCGTTTCATTTATCTGTATCGCAAGAAATTCAATGAAATGTATGTATAACCAGACCATTTGTTTTGTGTCGATACGTAAAGAAAAACAATTAATGACGTGATTTTTTTTCCGTCTATCTGTCTGTCTGTTGCAGTTTTCATTATGTGGAACAAAGTACATACGGATACAATGGGAACGAAGAGTTTAAATTGGGTGCAGCCACTGTGTATGCATCAACGATGCTCATCAATTCAACGTGCGGAAATAGTGTTCTCAACGAAATTGTCAATCGAACGTACTTGAACGAGTCACTTATACGAAAACTTGGCCAATCCGTGCTTGATTTCTACCTCGAATGCATCCGATGTTGAAATTTCTGTTTAAAATTCGCCGTGTGATTCATAACTAGTGATGATATTATTATTTTTCTGTAGGGTTTAAGGAATGTATTGATGAATAAATACGCTACGAATATCGAAGAAAATGCAATTTTAAAAAGTTCGCTGTTTTTCTGCTTTACATATACAAGTTCATGGTTGCCAACCTAAAACGTGCATGCGTTGAAAAACGATTGTTCATTTCTCGGTTTCGTTTGTGAGTGTTCATCCGACGACATTTATGTGTGTGTGTGTGTGTGTGTGTTTGCGCGCTGTAACGATAGCCGAGCAGCTGTGCTACGCGACAGTATTGGTGCGCCGATGTGTGAATGTATGTTTCTGTTTTCTCGCCACAGACCGATTTCCATCTCACATATTATATACACATCGCGAATATGTCGGTTTTCTCTGTGTGTAGTTTTCTTCATACAGACATTTATTTATCCATTTCATTCATTCATTCGATAGCACAGTTCATTTCATCGCGTTTGTGAAAACTGTTTGTTCATACCATTTGCCAGTATTCTTTATCCCGATTTTTCATTTCCTCATCAACACGAATTTGAATAAAATTAAAACTAAATCAGTGAATTTAAAAAGTTCTAATAAAAAAAAAGAGGAAATATTTTTCGTTGAATCAAAACCATTCGGAATATTCACATCGAAAAAAGACTATAAAGAACGCATTGATTTTACAGTGATTCATCGAATACGTTCGTAGTTGTTCTCTCATTTTATTCCGTTGTTGTTTTTTTCGCGTGTATTTTCCATGACGTCACCCAATCATTTCGGATAATTCTGAAAACCATTTTTTTTTACTGTCGCATTTATAAAGAGCAATAACACGAACAAAAGGTCTGTGCTTTGAGGCAAAAATAAAAACTTGTGTCGTGCTAAGAATCACACCAACAACGAAAAAAAATTGCTTTGTGAGTACTTTAGTCGTAAAGAAAGTTGCTTTTTTCTTTCATTCTCCCCCTTGACAATGGATAAAAACTTTTGCAGGCTCGATTACATCATTTCAGAATAAAGTTTCCGTTAATTGACATAATTGTAATCATAATAATGCATTTTACTGTTTAATGCAATGAGTTTCTTGCACCCCCACACATATTTCTCTAAATTGGCTGTGGATGATTTGGATGTTGTTATTGTCCGACAGCGTTTCGTGTTATTGCGACAGTGGCGCAGCGCGTATTTTCATACAATAGTGTATGGTTTTTCTTTGTTTTTGTTTTGTTCTGGCATTTCACACGTACATCCAGTCCGCTTGCGCTCCTTTGCCCTCACAAAATGTTGTTTATCAATTTTATATGCGGTCTATTCTGTGTCACTCTCTTGCGCTTACTCCGACTGGCTGTACAGTGTGTACGTATATTCTTATTTCGAGTTTCTTGTCACACGCTATGCGTTGGTTGTATTTGCGTCGTTTCTTATCAATTTCATGTTGAAATGAACTTTGTTGTTGTTCATTCACGTTTTTATATGACACTTTTTCTGCTGCTGCTGCTGCTGCTGCTACTGCGGTTATTATTGTTGTTGGCTTTTATTTTTATCGCAACAATTTTGCATTTCTCATCATGAAATTGAGTTCGAAAACCTGTCAACGTCACACCATGTTTTTCACTACATCTGATAAAGTGATGAAATTGTGTTTTCAAAAACAGACAGCCAAAACTTGACGCTTTCACCAAATTGAAACTAACTCCCATATGTCATGTATTTTAACTGTCCGGCTTTAATTGCGGCATTTTTTGCTCTCTCTCTCTCTCTTTTTTCTTTTGTTATTTTTAGAAGTCAATTAGTTGCGCACGTGGGAGTATTGAAAATAGCGACATGTACGAGACATCAACAACCTACGAGAGTAGCGTACCAACAACACCAACGTCAACAATTCCAGATGGATTGAATCGCAAGTATTATCGCAAGGCCGCACACAGGTAAGCGCATGAGTTAGTCCCTTGGAAATCATCAACAGAATGAACTGTAGCAATTATCGTCCAAAAATACGAACAAATATGAACATATTTCAACAAAGAGATGTTGTGTGTGTCATGCGAACAAGGGAAATAAATTCCACATTTCATTTGATAGAGATAAATGCCAATAAATTTTCGATTGACATAAATTCTTAATTATTGCCAAACGTATGCGGGAAGTTCACAATGGAACGAACTCGCATATGGAAATAGAAAACTGATAAAAAGAAACTGATCAAAGAAATGCAATGTGATTTTCAATCATATCTCACTTGAATTGTACTCGATAACTATATCGCTGCCTCCTTTCCTTCTCTCTTTTTCTCCCTCTTTCCCTCTCTTCCTCTCTCTTCCTTGGTCCAACGAAACTTTCCTAGAAAACAAACTATGCTTATTGAAACAGTTTTAATCGAACGTGCCAGTGTCATCGAAAGCATCTCTCGTTGTACGTGTGCATAAAGTTATGATGGTCTCAAGAAGATTATATTTTCAAATAGTTTCCAGTTAGGGACACGTTCAATGATGCACGTTTGAAAAATGTTGTTTGCTGATAACCTCTTACTATCTCCTGATAAACCAATCATAAATTAGTTGTTAAATTCATTATTTATTAGACAATAATTGAATGTTTGCGATGAGCTGTTTGCACTGCGAGCAAAATGCTGCAAATGTGTTTGTACATTTCATTTGCTAGATACGTGCACCTTGTCATGTGATTCAAACGCTGTGTTTTTTTCTCTCTTTCTTTTTAAATATTCATGAAACCAATTTTAAACAGATGGAATCGAATATATTCGGATGGAATATTCCATAGGAATTTTTCCAAACAAAAACACAAAATCATTTTCGACACGCAGGGACACAAAAAAAAACGATCAAATTTTCCAATCATTTTTGTCGATAGCGGCGGCAAAGCAAATAAACTCATTATTTCGGTTTATTTTTGGAAATGTGCAACAATTGGATTCGGAAATATTGGTTGCACTACAACGTAGATAGTAACTGCGCATTACTCTCTTGAATACGTTCTGTGTTCGAGAAGAACAGTTCTGCATTCCAAAAAAGTAAATATTTGCATTGTCATTGGCCCATAAATGCGATTCATGTGCGAATTCCAAGCAAATGGAATATATTCGGTGAAAATAAAATGCGTCATGAATGTGAAGTATGCACAAAGAGATAAAGTCATCAATACATACACAGTAAAAACAACGTAACGGCATCTTTGATTGTATTGACCAAGCACGACTACAACAACATCATGTCATCCGATGCAACTGATTGTGTTTGCCATTCATCAAATTGTCAAACAAACCCATTTAAATCTAGCTTACTCTATCTTATCAACATTTCAGTTGATTGTGAAATAGAAAGCAACTGATTCATTTCGGTGAGCCTACAAAAATCGAACAACAAAAACAAACGATATTGCTGATGTGTTCACATTGTGACCAACACTTATGCATACGCATGTAGTACATACACTTACACACAGCAGCAGCAGCAGCGAGCGCAGCAATACATATTCGATTACATCGTCATACACTCAAATTTAATTGTATGCCAACATTGTTTACGTGATATTTTCTCTCTGTGTTTTGATAATGTATTTACGTATTCACACCCTGAAATAAAAAAAAACAAGCAACAACAACACACAACACAAAATTCCGTTGTCATCGTCGTCTTCACATATGAGCCGTATGGTGTGTTAGTCTTAATTACGCATTCGACTTAAACTAATCGAAATCGCATTCAGTCTCTGCTGTTTTGCTTATATGTACGGCGCACAATTAATTTTGAAAGTTACTTGCGTACAGCAATTACATTGAGCTACAGCTTTGGTGAAGTGAATTATACTTGCTTGAAAACGTTGCAAATAACGCAAAATCGTTCAATTAAATTGAAGTGTAAAGACAAGAAGAAACAAGTGTAGACAGAAATTGTAAACAAAATTAGTATAAATCATTGGGCGACAGTGGTTTCATTTACAAAACTCTATTTAATCAAGCGTTAAAAAACGAGTCGTATTAAAATGCCAGAAACATCGCAGGATGCATTTGAATCATTGTATCCAGGCAAGCAGCCTATGAGCGTCGATGAACTACGAAAACGTTCCAATTCAGTGAAAAAAACGAACGCACCAATTATCAATGTGGATAATACGTTGGTTGGGGCCGAATCGAACTTTTGGCCACAGCTACCCAGCCACAATGTATCTGACTTAAACAGTGGACAACGAGGCACTCGAGAATCACGAATCAGTGTTGGCGAAGTTGATAGTTGCTACACTGCACCCGAACCATACATGGGCTACAAACGTGAAAGCAGTCATAGGTAAATGATATCTTTATTCCGAACAAAAAACAAATGAAATGACATGATACAGATGTGGAAGAAAAATCCAATTTTACTAAATGACCCCCACCAGGCAATGAAGTTTAATTTAACTTTTGACCTCGAATGTGATACGAGAGAGTAAATTTCAGGCGGCTTATCTAGTCGATGTTCCCAACAAATCTTTTGTGATTTGCGCATGGAATCGTCTTCTTTATCAATGAGCTATGGGCAAATTCTGCCACGAATTATGGGCTAAAATATCATCGGATCATGTTTGTTCACATATACGTAGCAGCACATCTGTACGTACACACCAAAGGCAAAAAAAGCGGTGACCTGATAACTGGGTTGGTAATACCGATTCGTCGTTCGAATATATGTATGAAAAGCAGCACAAAGAAAGAGAGGAAAAAACAGCAACCGAATGAATTAATATGTCAATACAATTTCCATTCTCTCTCTATCAGCCGATGGTAATGTAGCGAAGCATGTGTGACGATTGTCATACATAAATACGCGCACTCTATCTCTTTCTATCTCTCTCTCTCTCTCACTCAAAAACAAATGCGTACATTTAAACCGAATACGTAAGTATGTATTGACTGTTTGTGTATGTATTGCAGACGATTCACATGGAAATGAATTGAATTTGCATTGGATCGAGTGATTTCGTGCTCTAGTGAAATGGAATGGCTTTATCGGCGATATTTTATCGTTAGACTCGTTGCAGAGCATGCTAGCGCCAGCCAGCAGCGATAGACGAGAAACAGAGAAGAAAAAAAACAACTCGTATACAAATATTGCTTAATCTATGAAATGGCATCGTTACACTTGAAAAACCAACAGCGCTCTTTAAAGCCAGTTTATAAATAGCTTGGAAATGCCAAGCGAGTGTGCTGTGCGAAATGTTATTATTTTGTTTTCACATATCATATTAAAATAATATCAGTAGCAGCGCGAATGCAATGCCATGCATTTCCATCGGAATGCAATTTATTACAGCTATCATAATCTGGTGTGTAAGCAATTCTCTTCAAGGGACGTGATACTTACGAGAATTATTTTCAATTCAATTCGGAGTAAAACAACACCCAAAACAATCAATTGAATGCTAATTGTGAAGGAAAAATATAAACGTACACAACGGAATGAAGTGTAAAAACACGATGAATAAAATTAAACGTGGCACTTTACCATAGCTTAATGCCCTCTTCCAGCACGTTCCAGTGTTCCGTCATACGAACAAAATGTTTACCGATGATCGAATGCTGAGACTGATTTTCAGTTCAATTCCAGTGTTTGGTTTGTATTTCTCTTCCTCTCTCTCTCTCTCTTTCTCTCTGGCGGGGGCGCGTTTGTTCGATTCAGTTAATAGTGTGTATGGCAACAGTTCACACGGGCTACATCCGGGAAATTCTATGTCCAAATGAGCAAACAAGTACTCGAAGAGTTTAATCATCGCCATTAAATGATTTTAAATAGCGGAAAATCTTTCGGATTTTTTTTTGTCTCTTGTTCCATAGCAAAATACAAGCAATTAGCATGAGAAGAATCTCGGAGTTGTTTTTTGTATGCAATTTATAGATTCGTCGTTAAAATACTTGTGAAGCTTAACAAGCAATCATTAAAAGTTTAAGTGCTTCTATTTCGAGAGAATATTATCGCCAATTTTGATTCCGTAAAATTGACCTTTTGCGTATTTGCGTACTTGCGTGCGATTCAGATTAAACATTTTTAACATATCAATCAATAAAAAGTCACTCACATGGCTACAGATTGCTGCGACGCACTACCTCATCGATAATAATATAATAATTCGCAAAGCGCTATGAAAATAATAAATGATGAGCATGGAATAAACAAAAAATGCCTGTGAACAACCATTTTTTTTGCATTGCTAGATTATTCAAAGCCACCGCATACCTATTAACTCTGCGTGTGTTCGATTGCGATTTGCGGTATCTGTAACCGCGAGCGTCACAAAAGAATTAATCTTGCTGTGGTAAACAGAATTTATTTTTATGGTAGTAAAAAAAAATATTTTATGTAATTATTTGGTGACACAAGAGACACAACACGACGACGACGACGACAACAAGTCGATTCCGTCGTATTTTTTAATCAGCCGCACATTTGTTAAGCGTCTAGTATCGCTTACAATGCTGATAAGCTATGTCGCAACTGTTTGCTCGTTTGCCGACGTAAGAGGAAAGAGAAAAAATAAGGCGCGTAAATCACGTGTAACCCTGCAGAGGATCTGAGTGATAATTATACGAATCTCAATCAAAAAGGGAAATCAAGTAAATTAACTGTGTATCTGATGATGATGCTCAATTTTTCATTGTCCACCCGAGTAATTAATTTTTCTACCGAACGAAGCATATCAATGGGTAGAAGAAGAAAAAATCGAGTGAGGCGATAATATTGCATCATTTGCTGCGATGAAAAAATGTGCTGACCTCAAGCATTTCGCGTGGCTGCATGATGCTTAGCGATATGAAAAGTTGAACTTGACGCTATTTTCTCCCCGATGTCGTCGACAGTTGCATCCATTTTTCAAACTATCTTTAGAAAAATATGAACTTCTATTTTGTTGTTGTTGGTGCTGTTGTTAGATGCTA